AGCCAACTTGGAGGCGGGCTTCGGCTGAGAGGGGGACCCAGACGTCCGGCCGCTCCCCCGCAGGCCCGCAGCATGTCGTCCTCGGCCCCGGCGGCGGAGGGAGAGGCGACCCCCGCCCAGCCCGCGTCCCAGAAGGAGCCCGAGAAGCCCGGCCCCCGGGAGGAGAGTGAGGAGGAGGAGGAGGACGACGACGACGAGGACGACGACGACGAGGAAGAGAAAGGTGATGGGTTTTCAGGCCCGCGTTTCGCGTGTCCCTGCTCTCGGGGCGCGGGGACGCGTTGAGCCGGAGCGATCGTCGGCAAGTGCGCGGACTCGGCTTCTGGGTGGCGCCGCGAGCGCTGGCGGCGCGGCGGCCACTCTGCCTCCGTCCCAGCGCGGTCTGGAAGTTCGGGCGCGGCCCCGTTTCCCAAGTCGTGTGTGCCCCGATCAGGTTGCAGGGGAAACGTTTCGGTCTTGCTACTGTCAGGGCCGGTCCTCTACCCTCGGGAGGTATTGTGAGGGCTTCGGCGTCACCCACGCTGAGACCGACGCTCCGGTGCGAGTCCTGGAAGCGTTTTCGAGTTGGAAGATGTTTTTCTGTCGCCCGAGTTGCAGGAGAGTCCTCTGCAGAGACGGGTTCTTTCCGCTGGAGAAAGTAGTTAAAGACGAAAGAAGTGAACCATGAAAGTAGGAACCCACAGCCCTTTCGGTTTTGGGGCCGAGTCTGCCCAGTGGGACGGCCCTGTTCACACTGTGTGTCCAGGATGCACGCTGGGTGCCTCCCCGAGGTGTGCCAGCTTCCTTTTAGAAGTCCAAGTAGCGGCTCTTCACACTTTGATGGTATCGACCCGATCCACGCATATTTCATATAGCTACAACTCCAAACTGGAGAAGAGGTTGAGGCTCTCTTCCCAAACTCAGGTTTACCTGTCAGTTTCTTTGAGTCCATGGCCAGCATTTTATAAATAAAATCTAGAGTAGGATTACAAGGTATGTCTTTTGTTGTTTAAAGTAGTATGTGCCCTAAGGGAGCATGTCCATATTTAAGTACAGGGCCACTCTGAAGTCTAAGTTTCTATATAAATTACTGCTTATTAATTTAATGTACTTTTAAATCACATGTAATGCCATAACTAAAGATTAGCTGCGATATTTCACTACTAGACAAAAACACTTCAACCTTTGCAAGAAGAGCTGGGAGCTACAGGGATGGTGGATTTTCTTTCTGTCAAGAAAATTCGATCTAGGTATCTGTAACATAGTGATGATTAGCGGATTGGTGGTATTTTTTTAAATCCCCTATTTTGTTATAGATCGCTAAAGGTTTATTCCCTAACAGCTTTATAGTTGTGATTTTCTTATAATTTTCTATATTCATTTGAAGTGTTTGTAGGAGAACCCAGGATTGTGAACTTTTTCATTTTACTTAGCTCTTTACACTTAACTCTAGTACTAGACATCGCGGAAGTGAGGCAGTGAGGTTAATGAAGTCCGTGCTGAAGGGTCACATTAGCTAAAGTTGGTATGTT